AAAAAAAAAAAAAAGTATCTGGTCTCAACCGTAGACCAGATACATGTAGGGGGTTCGGCGTTTTGGGAACGCCGGACCCCCAGGAGCAAAAAATTCCGACCGGATTTTGACAAAAAAAGTCAGTTTTTTCGTTCAAAAAATATAATATGTCCGTTTTGACGAAATGGCTGTTATTACGATTCTCATCTTCAAATCTGCATGAAGTCAGAGCCAGTATGGGATCTCGTTGCACAGATCTTTAAGTTGTGAGAGTAGGGTAGAATCAAAGATGTGAAAATGAGGAAAGGTGTTGGCGGCAAGAAAGTGAAAAGCCTTTGAGGTAACAGACAACCTGGCACAGGGAGAAGAGGCACAGGGGCAAGGAAGGGGAAGAGGCAGAGACAGACCACGGCGGAAGAAGAACACTGATATGTGTCAGCAGCGCTTATTTCTTATGGCACTAAACCCACTTATGTGACAACCCGGAATGAGATTGTGAGTGAGCCAGCTGACATGCCGTTCAGACCATGAACCCAGCTAGCCTCCCTTTCTAATGAGGTTATCATTCCTGTACTTACAGAGGTGATAAGCGGAGATCTCTCTCTTGATGAGATGGATAAGAGACTGTGATGGATTAAAACCAGAGAGAGAACAGTTCCTGCTTTTGTAAAGGGTGTGGGTTTGGAGAGTTGTGAGAATGCAAAGGAGGAGTACCCAGTTCACACGAGGGAAGAGATGCTCTCACAGTTCTATAGCTATTATGTGAAGAAGCCCAGAGATGATGTTCAGGCTATGATTGTTTACTGCGGCAATGCAAAGAGCTACAAAGAAGCACAAGGGCTCAGCCACAGGCCTGAAGAGGGGGTTGCGACACAAGGGTCAGCCAGCAGTCAGAGTCTGCTGAGTGAATGGACCATGTACGAGGGTGAAGGGTACAAAAGGACTGTGAAGGTGCTGCAGTGTGACACGCTGGACTTACCCAGGAAGTTGGAAGACAGGCTTCCTTTCACTCTGTGTGTGATGGATTTGCCCTGTGGCTGGAATGCAGAGGATTCTGTAGGAGACGAAGAAAAGTTTGCCAGAGTACAGATCCTTACATGTGGCCGTACCATAAAGGAGATCACAATCTCGTGTTGGCGGCCTTCCGCTCTGCTGAGATGCTTGCTGATGTAAGGTCTGTCTTTGAAGCTGAGTGTAACTGTGGAGTGGAAATTGGCGTTTGGGTTGCTCCTAATGTCCTCCCTCCAAAGTGGTTTGAGGTTGACAAACTTCATGCAGTTTTGCATCCTGGGTTTCTACAGACAAAGTCAGGTGATTGAACCTTTGCAGTTTCAGTTCAAGGATGTCGAGTCTCGCCTGAACTGCTGGATCATCCCTTTTGTATCAAAAAAGTGCACTTCAACTACTGATGGCCGAGTTCTTTGCCCTTATCAGAAGCCCATTATGTTGTATGAGTGGCTTGTCAAAAAATTCTGAGATCCCAACGACTCTTACATTGTTGATGCATTCTCAGGATCTGGCACCGGGGCTGTTGCTGGTCTCCTCTGCAAGAGGCATGTTCTTGTGGTAGAGAGCAACGCCAGATGTGTGGAGGGCATACGTTGCTGGTCTCCTTTGCAAGAGGCATGTTCTTGTGGTAGAGAGCAACGCCAGATGTGTAAAGGGCATACGCACAAGACTTACGGCTAGGGAGTTTAAGATTGCTGCAGAGAGTGATGCCGTTGCGAAGACTGTTTCTGAGCCTTGGAGAAAAACATAGGGAAGAGCATCCCGTATGTTTCTGTAGGTACCTGGGGAGTTTCCCCCTTTTGCATTTCGGTTTGTCTCTTCTGGTTTGCAGCAGTTCCTTCACATGGGACGCTGCATGCATAGGCTGTTGCTTGCACGCTCCCAACTGTGGATACGTAGAGTAGCTTTTGTGAGGATTGAGCCCTCAAGTAGGGGCCTTGCCATGATGTACATGTTCTGGGCTAAGATCCCAGCAAGCCTTGTGCCCGCCCTAAGTGAAGGCGGGCCAGCAAATCAACAAGAGCCCTCTGTGCCAACATTTCACGAAGTGGGGTCTATACAGTTGCAGCACGCCAGTTGGTTGGAGTGCAMCGAGTCTCGGATTTCAGCAAATGCTGAAATGCCCAGGGCCTCTGAGTTAGTTAGGCCCTGGGCACTCGAACGTGAGGCCGACAATGCATGCTGGGTAGAGAGGCCGAAAATGCCAAAGKGAAATCGGCCCACTGTCTGAATCTGGCCGCAGGCCTTGATGGAGGCGCAACTGCATTGCCCCGGGGCCCAACTGTATCRAGTTGGCTTCAGCCTCTGGGCCCCGGTCACAGGCTGAAGGGAGGCCGCCCACACGCTGCACTGGCATATAGGCAAGCAGGGCGAGGCAGCAGGGATCTTGGCCAATGCTGGCACTTGCGGGCACGCTGCGCAGATGCATGTGTGCTGCGCTGTGCAAGGCAGTGTTGCGCTAAGAACAAGCAGGCCAGCGCTAGGCGGTAGGGCGCTGCCTCCATACAGGGCGCTTGGCGGCCATAGCCGGGCTGCAGAGGGCGCAGAGGGGTAAAGGGCGAAGGTGGTCTTCGAAGGTGAAGGGTGCTGTGTGGGTAACAAGGGAGAGTGCGGGAAAGAGGACACGAACCTGGTGAAGGTGGAGGTCGGCATTGGTGTTGACATCATCACTCGCTGGTAGTCAAGTTGTCTGGTTGCTGTTCATTGCTGTAGAGTAGATAGGGCGCCTGGCGCCATTCACAAGAGAGAGCTACATTTGGGTCATGCTGTTGGTGTTGCCCTGTTCGGCATGGACATTGACTCACGATTCTTCTGTAATCATTCTCAATTGGATGGTTACTCGGTTCCATGTGCTATCTGCTTTGGCGTTGAATACTTGGACTTCAGTGTGATTTTGCATTCTGGATTTCTGTGCTTCGTCCATACTCATGTTCCTTGCAATTCGGTATCGGAGCTGGTTTGATCGCCACTTACCTTTGGCACGCTGGCGTTGTACAGACTTGGTGCGTTGATGATGCTTCTTCACAGTGGGTACTTGTGACGTCAGGCCACTATAGGTGCACGCCCTGGGTAGAGAGGGGTGCACCGGAAGGCTATTACGGCATTGTTTGCCGTGGGATACAGCGGAATGTTTGATTGATGATGAGAGCAAGCTGATGTGACATTGGACTGAGGTGGCACTGCATTGCGTTGTGGGTGGTACYGAGGTCATGACCGGTCATCAAATGCAACATCAACTCAATTGGTGAGAAATCTGTGGTTGGGGGCAGCTATCTCCAGGTACGTTGTTCCCTTACCTTATCTACTCTCTCAATCTCTTCTTACCGTGAGGAAGTGAGTCCAACTTGAGAGTCCTCTCTTTTGGTGAGGTGTCGTGAGCGCGCTACCTTGAGAGACGACAATCTTCCCGGAAGCATACTGGAAGGAGAAAGGGCGGTGCCTCTGAAGGGCCCTGGTCGAAGCACTTGGGTCACGGTCACCATGCCAACCCACAGGGAGTAGTGCACACATGCGATTGCTGCTGTCCTGTTTGGCACTTGCTGCCTATGTAACACCCGCGGACGCGTCCGCGGGTCCGATCTCGGATGGCGGACGCAGACGCGTCCGCGTCCGCGGCCGACCTGGTCCGCGCCGCGGACCCGATTTTACCAGAATTTTCCTGAATTAAATAATATGTAAAAAAACAAATATATATATGGGGTTGTAGGGAATTTTACGCCCTACAACCCCATATTTTTTTACATTAAAAAGATGCGTTTTATGATTTAAAAAAAAATACAAAACCGAAACGGTGCAAAAAAAAAAATTGAAAAAAAAAA